TAGTGTATTGAGTTTCTACATGCAAGCACAAAAATTTACTATGCTCCGACACTATACCAGAGCAATGGATGGTTTGACCCACAGTCAACGGAACACTGATGCGATGATTGAGATCACAGTACATATGTGCTTGCAAATAAGTGGCAACAAGGACCAAGAAGTAAGATCATTGCCCCAACGGAAACAAGCGAATCAGTGGTACTTTCATTTTTTGGTCAAAAATTACAGTGGTAAAATTAAACCACTTGAGGCTCACAAAGATCATGAACTAGTGGTGAAGTCACGTGGGGGCGAGGAGTGGCGGCTGCCACTCCCCTCGCCGGAAAACATAACTAGAGTGCTAGTTCAGCCCTTCTCCTCGCTGGAAAACCCGATCGGTTCAGGCTTCAGCCCCTCCCTGTTCTCCGATGATTTGGTTATGCTGCTGCGCAGCAACTGATTGCATTTTTTTTTTTTTTTTTTTTTAACATCCGGTCTGATGCCAATCTCGACTTTGATAAAAACAGCCATTGTTGCAGTTGCAAAGCTTGGTGCGGTAGCAGATTGCAGAGTCTGCATTTCCCATCATCAGAAATAAGAAGATGAAAAAGTTAAAACCTTATCTTATTATAACTTAATTACATGACACCGTTTGAGTGCTTTGAGTTTCGTTTACATTTTACATGTAACATCCCACATCGTCTAAGGGAGTGGATCATGTAAGTCTTACATGTATATTCTCATCTCTACCTAGCACGAGGCCTTTTGGGAGCTCACTGGCTTCGAGTTCCGTAGGAACTTCGAAGTTAAGCGAGTTCGCGAGAGAGCAATCCCCATATAGGTGACCCACTAGGAAGTTCTCATGTGAGTTCCCAAAAACAAAACCGTGAGGGCATGGTTGAGGTCCAAAACGGACAATATTGTGCTACAGTGGAGTCGTGCTCGGGATGTGGTGGGGGCTTGGGCCGGGATGTGACAATTTGGTATCAAAGTCAATCCCTGGTCAGAAGTGTGCCGACGAGGACGCCGGGGCCTTGAGGGGGGTGGATTGTAACATCCCACATTGCCTAGGGAAGTGGATCATGTAAGCCTTATATGTATATTCTCATCTCCCAAAAGGTCAGTAAGCTCCCAAAAGACCTCATGCTAGATAGAGATGAGAATATACATATAAGGCTTACATGATCCACTCCCCTAGACAATGTGGGATGTTACATTACACGCGGTAGTAGTTACTGCCATTCATTTCGCCATAACCAGGAGAACCTCATGTAGAATGGGAGCATTTTTTATCACCACCAGGCCCGGCCCTAGCCTAGGGCAACAAGGGCTACCGCACAGGGAGTCAAAAAATCGAGGGCGCCAAAAAAATTTAATTTCTATTATTATAATGTTATGTTCAGTAAGCCTATAAAAATATAAAACTGGATATTTGTCATAAGATGTCATTTGCAGCGGTGTTCGCTGCTTTCTTGCAATGGAAAGGAACACGGGTTCGAAACTCAAATGTGCTTTTTTTTGTTTATGCATTTATTTCATCTTTGGTTCAAATAAGTAGCTATATTTCTATATGTGCCTTTGACGAAAGTGGTTTTTACAAATTCATTTTCAATTAATTACCATCCTTCGGAAAATAATAATAATAGTAGTAGTAGTCATCCAAGTTCAAAATGAGAACCTTTTTCTTTTGAGAACTTTAACTAAAAGCTCTCAGTACTGTTCACTTTAACGAAAAACCACATTTTTACACTAAAAGGTCAATCTTAGTACTATTTACTTTACCATTTCGTTAAAACTCAAAGTTTTCAAGCTCTTTTCGTTAATTTTCCTTTTTCTTTAGCAATAATGTTCTGTTTCAATATAATGTTAGGGTTTAGGGTTACCTTTCTTTCTTATCCAAGAAAAATGAGTTATATTTTTAATAACATATATGTGGTTTTTGGTTTTTCAATAATTTTTTTTTTTTGGTTCATTCATTGTTTATAACATTATATATATAAATTAGAGAGAGAAAAATATGACAATTCTTATGAAGCCCCAAGGGACAATAAATTAGAAAATTATCCGATAACTATAAGTTTTATACAAAAATACCTTTCATACCTAAGTTGATTTTTGCTTGTGAAATATTTGTGTACCTTATCTAAATACAAACTAATATCATGGCTTAGATATGAAATTTATTTTTTCTTCACTTATAAGTAAGAGATCTTAGGTTTGAGTCTTTTAAATGACAAGTTAGATACCAAATTATGGCCAACCCATCTTGTTGCTTAGCATAATCCCTCACATCATGCTATCGTTTTATCAAAGAAAAGTTACATCGGCATGCACAAATATGAACACTAAAACAATTGATATTTTTTTTTTTCTGACGCGGACTTATACTAGGGTACTTATTTTGGTATTGTCTTGAGCCTCAAAAATCTCAAGACCGGCCTTGCTGACCACCATTTAGTGAAATGCATGTTCACCATCTTATTTATCACCGTTAAATGAGTTTGAACTTTGAGATTTGTGGTCCTGATAGCACTCTAATTGAAAGGAAATGATATACTAATCAACAAAATAGAAAGAAAGGAAGATTATATTATTGAATTTTGTAATTATATTTCTTTTTTATTTTTGATGGTACACACTATCATATAAAAAATAATCACTATATCCTTTGGTTTTATATAAGTTTCAAGTCACACATACACAATATAAAATAAATTCATACAAGATTCAAAAAATATTTCGTAAAGCACTACGAACTCGTAATCATTTGAATTTTTATCTCAGATTAATAGATTTATCAAAGTACTAAGGAGAATTTTTAATAGTTTTATATATTAATAATAATATTATTATAATAAATAGGCATTTATTTATATGAATATAATTAATCAAGGTTTTGCTTAGGCGCTAGGCATTAAGCCTCAGCCTGTCGCCTGACTAAGTCTAACGTCTTTTAGGACCTTTCTTTTTATACATTTACGTAATAGAATGATACTATAAAAAATGATACTTATATCCTCCTTCAAATAATACGATTAGTGCACAAATCCTCATTTGAATGTTTCGATGTCACATCCCCACTCGAGCCCCCACTAGAAGAACCAGTGACGATCTTAGACTGGAAGGATAAGGTTCTAGTTAGACGTTCGTGTTGGTGGCTCACGAGAACTCTACGGTGGTTCTGACAGACTCCAAATAATGTAGGGTTTTCTTTCATATCATTTATAATTAGTACTTAGCCTGCTGGACTACACTTAGGTTATCTATGCTTTGATACCAAATCCCGGGCCGGGATGTGACATTCAAGTACTCCAAATCCTCCCTTGAACATTTCAAACAGTCCAAATCTTCTCAATAAAACTCCAAATCCCCCTTTGAATATTTCAAATCTTCTCAATAAAATGAGCTTACTCAGTTGAATGAATTATTGGCCAACCTTGTTGCAAACCCTGGACTGAGACCTTGAATGATTGTCTAAATTCTTTTAGAGCCTTTTATTCCTTTTTAAATTTCGCCATCCTGCAAATAATTTCTGGCTTCGTCATTGTGAACTACAGTATTTTTTTTTAATATAAGAGGAATGTCATCGGTCACCACATACAGATGATAAGGCTAATCCTCTTCTTCATATATTTTGGTGTCATGTGAGGCTAAAAATGTACTTTTGGCCTCCAAACAAACGGTACACTAAAACAAAGTCGATGACCCTAAAAAGTGCATCCATAGAAGTTCAAACTCGAATTAGGAGTTTCAAACATTTGGTCTCTTTACAAGGCCAAGCCCTTGGGGTTCATGAACTACGAGCTCGTTTGGATGAGTTTTTAAAATGACTAAAAGCGCTTTTGATGAAAATATCTTTGGAACCAATCCTTGGTAAAAATGCAAGTAAATTCTGGAAAAGCACTTAAAGTGCTTCCTGGAAAAAGCACATAACCGGTGTTTCTTGCATAAAGCACTTGAAGTGCTTTTGGAAACAAAAAAACATTCCTCTAGAAGTGCTTTCAGTTATTTTAAAAGCACATCCAAATGAGTCCTACATTGTTTCAGGAATAAGACTTCTAAATTTAATTTCAAAACTGATTCCATTCCATTGATGAAGCCTATCCCCTTCTCCCTACATTGGTTCAGAAATAGGAGATAATAAGAAAACTGAATCAGAGAATTGCTTTTGAGCAATAACTTTCAAAAAGCAAGTTTTTAGGATTCTTAAAATGTTATTGTCAGCTTGAGGGGTTCACTACCATATTCAACATATGACTTTAGCGAACAATCCTTTTTTTTTTTTTTTTTCGAATAAATTGTAATAATTGTCCATCAACTTTAATTAAATTGGAGCAATGATTTCAAAACTAAAAATTCATTATCATTGGTCCCTCAATTAAAAATTTATTACCATTGATCCCTCAACTCATCAAAACGTGTAGCTATAGTCTTTTTCGTCAACTTCGTCATAATTTTATCAAAATGAGTTATGTTGGAAATGTCATTGCTACAATTAAATTAAAGTTGATGGATCATTTCTCCAATTAGTTTAAAGTTGGGGGATCATTTCTCTAATTAGATTAAATTTGAGGGACCATTGGTAATGAATTTTTAGTTGAAGGACCATAGCTGTACCCTTTGATGAGTTGAAAGATCAATGGTAATTATTTGTTAGCTAAGGAACCATTCCTCTAATAAAGTTAAAGTTGAAGGGCGATTGCTACAATTTACTCTTTTTCCGCTTTACACATCCTTTTATTTTTCTCTTAATTTTCCTTCGATTTTTTCAATCAAAGGCAAGAAATAGACAAACGCATAAAAAGAAAGACATGGTACGTGAAAATCACTTCCTTCCAACAATACGTAAATTTCGGAGACGAACATTTGATTTGAGCATAATTATTTGACATCATTGAAGGAAAAATGATGCAAGCAGGAATTCACAAACTGGAAAAACCAAAAACAGAAAGAGACAAATAACCAGCAAATCATACCAATGAAACTTCAGGATAATTTTGCCGAAACAAGTTCTTCAAAAACTCAAAAAATATTTTCATCACCATCTAAAAGCTATCTGGCCTTGGGAGGAAAAGTATTCTTAACCGGACCAGATCCGTACTTCTTGCCGAACACAAGCAGCTGTAGCTTGTCATAACCAGACAGGACACCAGCACCAGCAATGGCACGGAGGATGTTAGCACCAGCACCCTTGAAGAGAGACTTGGCACCCTCGTTCTTCAAGATTTGTTGGAAGGCATCCAGGGAACTCCTGTACTTGACGGCTTCACCGGAGGTCATCATCATTCTTCTGCGGACAGTGTCAATTGGGTAGGAAGCAAGACGAGCACCATTGGTTATGAGCCAACTGAGGGCAAAGCTAGCGAAGAAACTGTCCTGTAGTTTTCCAAACATAACAGCAGCGTGTCACCAAATGCTACAAGCTCTGGATTCGTACTGCAGATCAACAGGCCAATAAGCCCAAACACTTGAAAGGAAACAAAAACAAGTTCTTGTAACGATCAACTGATAATAGACGACGACTGCGGGCAACAGATTAGAACACTGGGGCATAGCATTACTTAAGAACCAACTTCATCCAATTCTTTGTAATTGCTTCGCATAGCATTCTTCACAAAGGAAGCATTACATTAATAAAACGAAGCCAAAAATAATAAACAGAAGAATGGCTGCATCATAAAACTTTTTGCAAAATTATTTTAGTCCCTTCTCACAATTTTAAGAAGGGAAATGAATGACATAAGAAACATTATATATCATAACAATATGCATGCATACAAGAGATTGCACAGTACGTAAAAAATAACAAAGTTGAGCTAGCAACTAACGTAAGCACACCATCGAAAGAATATATAAGCATGAACAAAAAGGTAGTGAATAAAGAAAGGAAAGTAATACACTAACCTGAAAACCTCCAGTAAGGAAAACAGGCTTCAGTGAATCATAGAGTCCAAAGTAGAGACCACGGAGACAATGATTCCAACACAAGAAATGTTGAATCCACAGTAAAGACCAGCAATTCCAGCAGATTTCAGTGTCTTCTGGTAGACCTCAATCAGACCATTGAATTGTCTTTCTCCTCCCTTCTTTGCAGCTTTGGCATCATTGGTGAAACGGAGCATAATCCAAATAGTAGACAAAGAAAAGAGAAGAGCACCAACAGCACCTCCTGAAGCCAAGTTACCAGCAAACCATTTCCAGTAACCATCCCTGCCTTTCTTGAAATTGAACAGCCTCTTGAAGTAATCCTTGAATGCAAAGTTCAAGGCCTACAACAAATCCAGGTAACATTTTAGTACAAGCACACATCAAAACTTTTATTTTACCAGGGAACATTTAGTAGAAGAATAACATCACAAACCTGAGAGGGGAAGTGACGGATAACATTGGCAGTGTTCCCTCCCCACAATTAACCAAAACCCTCTTCCTTGATTGTACGGCTAAAGCACTCACCAATGCCCTTGTAAGGTTGAGACAAACGGCCGGTTTTGATCACCTCATCCTGGTTTTGAATCAACAGCTTGACACGCTCAATTGGGGCAGGGACAGTTTTAGATACGGCAGCGGAGACAACACTCATGAGAAAATCAATAAGAAAGTGGCCTTTCTTTGCAGGGGTTTGAACAAAAATAATGTGGGACAATACTTCTCTATTCTTATTACCAACAAGCCATGATCAATACTTGAATTGAGAAACTTTTGTGTGACCAAGTCAAATGGTCATTACCTTCTGAATGTCGATGCTATCTTAGTATTTTCATTGATGGATCTTTTCCTCGGAGTACAAAGAAGATCAAAGGAGAGCAGATTTTTTTTTTTTCATTTTGTCGTAGGAGAGGGAATATTTGAACAATTGACGGTGCCAGGATAAGTTATGTCTAACACTCGAGCTGCAAGGACCGGTAATTAAACTAGTTAAGGTCCCAAAAATTCTCTGTTGTTGTGGCCAAATTGTCACATATTCGAGAAAACTGACATCTGCTTGTTAAAATCTTAGACGAAAGTGCAAGACAACGGGCTAATAAATAATGGAACGTTAACATCAACAGAGGTGTTAATTTGGTTCAGTTCAAAAAATACGTTGTGTGATAAAAACTGCATGATTCATTTTGCAAATGACTCCAAAATCATGTGATGTAATACGCAATTAACCCAAAATTGAATTATAAACATGTTTTTGGAGAACAGATAAACGTGGCACACCCTTCTCAACGATTAAGCTAACAGAGGCGGGAAGTGGAACGTCTCCAAAAATGGCAGCCATGGTGGCGGAAGAAAACCCAAAGCAAAAGCAGGAACTTGCAATGGATAAAGAAGACGATGACGACTAGCATGGCGCCAAGGAGGCAGTGCTCCAAAAGTACTTCCTTCAAGAATGGAAGCTCGTCAAGTCCATCTTAAACGACATCGTCTCAAATGGGCGGGTGTCCGATCCCTCCGCTCCCCACAAGATCCGATCCATTGTAACGCTCACTTCCATCCCTTTTGATATTTTCTGCATTTTGCAAGATTGAATTTTTTGTTAGAACCCATTTGGAATTACTATTACTAGACCAATAATACCATTTTTCGTTAATTACATTGTGATTGGAGACATTTTTAAGTGAATATGATATGAAATTAGTTTGCTTTTTAAGTTTTTGATCAAGACACCATTCTAGCTTACTGTAAAATGAATTGGTTTTGGTTTTGGATTTGTGGGATGCAGTTATTGTATTTAGGAGTAGGCTTTTCTGATTGGGCCCGTTTCGATCAATTCAGAGGTGAGCTAGTGATTGCACTAGTCCAAGTTGGTTTCTTAGTTTGTCTTTCGAGGCATTATTTGATTGGTGAAAATGTTTTTGTTCTATACTGAAAATTTGCTATTTGTTCCTTATATGTATGCAGATGGACAAGTATCAAGAACAGGGTCAACTAGTTGAACCTTACCTGGAAAGCATCGTTACCCCGCTCATGTTTATTGTTCGCTCTAAAACAGTAGAATTAGGTGTAGCTTCAGATGAAATTCTTGAAGTAATTAAACCTATATGCCTTATTATTTATTCTCTCGTCACCGTTTGTGGATACAAGGCGGTTGTCAGGTTCTTTCCGCATCAAGTTTCAGTCTTGGAACTTGCTGTGTCTCTTTTGGAGAAGTGCCATCACACAAATTCAGTGTCTGCGGCAGGAAAGTCCAGGAGAGATGGAAGCTAAATGTGTGATGCTTTTGTGGTTGTCTATGCTCCTGTTGGTTCGTTTGATATCTCCACTGTTGATACTAGCATTGCAAACAACAGTAATCTTGGAAAACTTGAGCCAGCTCCTCTGATATTGAGGATAGTAGGGCTCTCCGAAGATTACCTTTCAAATTCAGGCCCTATGTGCCCTATTGCTGCTTTGCTGCTCTCGAAGCTTCTAACACGTCCAGACATGCCAAAGGCCTTTTCCAGGTTTCTTTCATCAAGTACATTGGTCATAACTGGTGCATACTAACCGCCTACTTGAGCATTGCATGTTTACGTGATAAAAATTGATTAAAATTCCAGCTGAGAGCAAGCTATGATTACACCCTCATGGAATTTAACCTTCTAGCCAAGAGAATATTAGTTAATCCTCTCTTGTTTTTGTTTCTGCACCACATTAAGTTCTTCCTTCTTTTTTTCTTTTTTGGAAACACTTAAAATTTAGTATTGGTTTTATGGTTAATATTTTGAATAGAAAATAGTATGAACACTCAATGTCAAGTAACTTATCTTTCCTTACATGCTCTAAGACCTTGCAGGTTGAACAGTTAGATTTTCACCCAATGGCTTAGAATGGGTGATAAATTTGATACGAAATACCCAACCTTAAGTGCTTGTACATTACATTACACACACATGCTTATGTGCATGTTCTGTCATTATTTCTTTCTTAGCTAGTATGCTGTAATTCTAGACAACTTTTATTGCTGCCTTTGCTTACCTATTTCTTATACATATTCTTCTTCAGCTTTGTTCAATGGACACACGAAGTCCTATCTTCTCCGACAAATGATGTCATCAATCATTTCTGGTTACTTGGAGCTACAGAAGCACTGGCTGCTATTTTCAAGGTCTGCTTTTGCTTCTTTGTTGTTCATACGAGATTATGAACCCCAACATAGTTTGCAACTTATTTGACTAAGGTGAAGGACCAATAACTGTGACCCTATAAAGAAAGTCAATATAAATGAGCAAGTATGATGATATTTGCAAGTATTGCAAGTATTGCAAGTTGCATACTGCATTTATACTTTTTAATGGAAAAATAAAGTTACAGGGTAATTCCTACCGATAACTTATTCGGTTAGGTTAGACCAAATTAACAAGATTCTCTTGAAAGTTTTTCTTGCTGGAAGTTTTTGCGGTTTATTTCAATAGTTGGGCTGTTTCTCTGCACCATGCACAATATACATCCAATGGCCTCGTAATCTTGTGGACTCATTGGGATGTGAGGAGATGCTATTGATATCCCTGTAATACTTTTAACTCGTATGATTTTGTTGATGCCCATTTTGTGCAGAGACGGAGTACTTGGGAAGAGGAAGACCTAGGAAGACTTGGACAAAGACTCTAAGAAACTATCTAGGGGATAACTTGGGTAATGAATTTGATTCTGGGTTGCATATAATGTCTTGTTGGTTGATACTGAGTCAGGAGTCAGAATTTGATTCTGGGTTGCACCAAATTATTGTGCTTCTTGAGTCCAGTTGTCAGGTTTAGAAACTTGGGTAATGAATTTGATTCTGGGTTGCATATAATGTCTTGTTGGTTGATACTGAGTCAGGAGTCAGAATTTGATTCTGGGTTGCACCAAATTATTGTGCTTCTTGAGTCCAGTTGTCAGGTTTAGAAACTATCTAGGAGATAACGTGGGTAATGAATTTCATTAGAGCTCACAATATAAAACTATGCGTGATATAATGATAAAGTAGTAACTAGTAAGGATATTATATTTTAAAAACTGTTCGACCTACTTGGTTTTAAGATTAAATATGTTCATTCATTTCCACTTTGAGGTGTAAAATATCCTTTTAACTTTTGATACACATACTTCAATTTTCATGTTTTTTTAATATAAAAACAAAATTGTATATTGTTAAGTTATGGAGATTGTTTTAAACTTTTATGGATGCTACAAATCTACGTACAGCAGAAATCTATTTTTCTAGAAAGGTTGTCATTTATTGTGCTCAGTTTATGATATTTCAGTATCTTATATACCATCTTCAATAGACAGGTTGGTGGGCGGCAACTCTTGCTTGATGTTACTATTGTTTGGGTTGACACCTTATTGTTGATCAAGTCTGGCAATGCCGCTAGGAGCCCATTACTTCGCAAGCATCTGATGAAATTAACACTGAGGATTGGGCTTCTTTGCCTCCCTCATCGTACACCTTCATGGCGCTATGTGGTTAGAGACACTAAATTTTTTATCCTTTCCTTATTATGAACTTAGTTTTTATAAATAGTAAGTTGTTTCTGTCAATGTTTAAGAAACTTAATTTATTACACTTGTTTTTCATTACAAATGGTATGTATTTCCTGTTGAGTTCCAAATATGTCCCACCTTTTAGTATCTTTCTTTTCAATTTTTTATGCTCCTGTTAAATGATTAGAGTACTTCAGAATTCAAATACCAGATGTGATTCTGCATCTAGAAGCATAAGATTTTTGAAAGGGGCTGCACATTAAGCAATTCTTTGCATTTTACAAATGACCACACAACGGATTACTGACTTTTGTAAAAAAGCCCTGATATGTCTTGGATAATTTCGTTTTTTCTCTGATGGCTCTCTTGCCTTAATCATGTACTGTTGATGCAGGGGAAAACAAGCTCTTTGGGACAGAATGTAACTTTGTCTGCATCTGAAAAAACTGGTCGATGCAATTATGCTTTAAATGATGAGGTTTCCAACTCCGAACCAAGTTCAAGCTGCCAGCAAGATGAAGAAATGGATGTTCCAGAAGTCGTAGAAGAGATTATTGAGATGCTACTTACTGGGTTGAGAGACATGGTATGTTTAAAGGTGTGAGATTCCATGAAAACTTGATTACTTTGAAGTTAGTAGCTCCTGCTGTTAAAGTTTCAATGACTATGGATCTCTTTTTTTTTTGTTGGTCCCATCTTGGTCATTTACTTGATCTTTCTTTAGAATTTTATCGGTTGGGAACATTTCTGGATTTCTGATATAGTAACCTTTGGAGACGCTGTCATTCCTCAATATTCTGCTTATCTGCAGACATTTTGATCTTGCATTTTAAGCAAACTGTTTGTTGTGAACTTGAAGAGCCAAGCCATCTGCATAACAGCTTTGAATGATTCTCCTCATAAGTGAGTTCGTTCTTAACAATTACTATACAGACGAACCTAAAGGATTATTAGTTATACTTGCAAGATAAAGAAAACTAAATAAAAGTCTGATTTCCAAGATGTGGATGATTTGGCTGAGGCTTTCAATGTTGGAATGAGAAAGAATACTTACAAAAGTCCCATCAATTAGATGAAATCCTCCTAAATTACCTTGGAAATGGGGAATAATAAGTTGCAGTGGTAAATACTCAGGAACAGTTGTTCTAT